GGCGAGCATGTTTGGTGTGACGGGGATTCGAACCCGCATACTGCGAGTCGAGCGCCCTAACCACCTGGCCATGCACTAATAAAGAAGCTATAATTTACAACGTTATACCAAAGTTCGTTTACAATAATTATGAAAGTTTCAAGAGCACATCAGTTTAAAACCGTGGAAGCAGTCCAGAAAATAAGCCACAAACAGAAAATTATAATAGAAACATAAGAGCTAACGAAACCTTGGAGTTTAACTTCAGAATTTTTAAATATAAAGAGCTTAAAAAAGGCTTTCAATTGTCAGCTGGCATAAGAACAACATAAACTCAGCAATTTGTGAGAAAAGCTGTAATTGTGTAGCAATTTTTCAATAAAAAATGACCTTCACAGACAATATAATATTATCTTACAAGCCTAAGAAAGTTAGAAGTTCGTAAAAAAAAAACACATCCTACGAGAAGAGCGAGGTTGGAGCTAGAGAAAGTTTCTTAAGATAAATTAATAAGAAAAGGCGAGATATAAAAGTGAAATATATTACAGGATTATAATACTGCCAAGAGTTAGTTAAGGCAAAATGTTTTGAGTTATTTAACATCGGTGGACTTGAGGCGGTAGCCTCTATATTAGATGAATATGAATAATACACACAAATGTAAAATAAAAGAATTAAACAATACTAGAGCTATCCAAGCTTGTGGGTTCTGAGAATTAGTTGAAAACTTAAACCATGAGAACAGTCTTTGATCCTGTAAATCGAATAAGTGACTATGCCTTCGTGTAATTTTGAAAGGGAATACAAAATAATAGATTGTCATCAACTGTAAACTGGGAAAAAAATTGAGCACCACTAAATTAATATCGTACAGTACGACATAAACAAGCAAAATAAATTACAACTCATGCAGGACTTCAGAGGGTATAATTCCAGAGAGATAACCTCAGTGGTAACACCTAAACCTTGCAATATAACAGTGTAGTTAACCCTAGCTAAACATAAGTTAGGCAAATTGGTAATAGCCTAACTACTTGACGTTTGTATTTCACGCGCTCTGCAAAAGGTATAATCTAAAATACTAGAGAAAATAGAATTCAATGAATTGTACGGAAAAAATGTTAACAGTAAGCTATTGTTGCTATTATGAAAAAGTTTATAAAGTTTAAGAATTTGCTCACGTTGAAATTCACTTTAACTTAATGTATTAATTAATGGTTAAACATTATTGAAGAAGACAGAACTATTATTACAAACTAAAACAGTTGTGAAA